CTAATTAAAAAATACCAGCTCCACAAATGTTTATCAGAATGTTCTAGTCACATGGACAGAAGACTTGTTACAGAACACGGCTCAACAAGAAGAATAACATCATCTCGTACTGATAACAAGAACTTGTGTATGGTATCAACCTGAGGAACTTATCCTCCCTTCATGATAGAATGTTATTGTGACGCACGAAACATGTATAAATATATGTACTGTCTCTTTAAGAATCCAGTGTGCTGTGCTTGTTCTGACTTCACGCAGGCAGCAACTCCTTTCTGCAGAAAGAATAAACCTTGCGCTCCGTTTTGAGCTAAAAGAGAAATGTCTCTGGTTTTCTTTTTATTAAGAGTTTTTTAAAGTTTAGAACAATTATTATTTTCCACAAGAGCCCATGCTGTGCATCGAGGTGAACCCAACTATATCTAGTCTGTATCTCTCAACCTCACGCACAAGCTCAGTCTCCCTTCCCTGCCAGAGAGGTCACATTCCATGCCCCAAGAGCAGCTTTGGTAAACCAGAGTCAGAGCACCAAAGCCCCTGCCTTTGGCCACTGCCCATGGCATCATGCATCCAACATGTATGGCCCATCCTGCAAGTGGTAGGCCCACAGTAAGGCAATCCCATGTTGCTACTTCAGGCTGAGCCCAACCGGGCCCCATGGGTAGAGACCCGGTCACCAGGCACTTGCTGATGAGCCCCTCCCCCTGGCCTGGCTCCCGGGTGGGACCCCAGTAACCCATGTCTGGACAAGGGACGCTGAACTCCTTGTTTTTTCTTGTCCATATATGTCTTTGGAATCACTCTTTGTCTGGCCTGTCACTTAGAACCAATCTGTATTTGGAGACCCTACCAGAGGCAGGAGGTGGAACACCTGGAGAACTGGTGCAAAAAGAATAACCTTCACATTAACGTGAAGAAGACAAAGGAGATGATCAAGGACTTCAGAAGGAACAAACACACCTACAACCCCCTGAACATAAGAAGATCTGCAGTGGAAGTGGTCTCCAGCTACAAGTACTTGGGTGTACACCTGAACAACAACCTCAGCTGGAGCAACAACAC